TAATATATCTATAAAAAAAAAGAAGCAGAAGTAAAGGAACAAATATCGATTCAGTCCCTGACTGGGATTTTCCTCCCCCCAACTAATCCCAGGATCACACAGACAGAGGAGCTACCGTGTCCTGCAGTCCCTCGCTGCCAGGTCCCTACAGAGACGTGTCCTGACATCTCTTCTTATCACTGGTGAAGCAGCAGGAAACACCTTCCTAACAGAGCAGCTTCAGGTGGGTGAGCAGGGGGCACCGCTGGTCCCGGGGGGGCGAGGGGTGCAGGGCTGCTCCCACCCCTCAGCTGCAAAGCCCTCAGGATCCCTCCAACCCAGCACCTGGGAAGGACAGGCCCTCACCTTCTGTTGGGGTCCGACCACCTTAAAACCCATCCCAGCCCCAGGGAGGGCCTTTGAGGCCCCAGCTGCTGCTCTTCCCAGTCACCACTTCCCAGCACCACACTCCTGCTTAGCCAAAAAGCAGCCCCCGAGGTGTCCTGCTGTGGGGCAAGGAGAAGCCTGGGGCTGTGGGGAACGACAACCTCAGGGCTTCAGTCCACCTCCAATGGGACCCATCTCCAGTGCCATGCTGAGGGAATATGCACTGGAGAGGAGAAACCCCCCTGCTCTGCTTCCTCCAGTCCCACCACTGTCCCCAGCACATGCAGACTTGGGCACCTTGAGCCTTTGCTCTTCAATAACACAAGAAGGGAGAAACTCAGCAGGGCAGTCAACAATAACTCAGCATTGCTTACGGATTCTCTTCAGCAAAGCTCTCACCCAGCTCTCCACAAACCAAACCAACTACTAAACCTCCTGCAGACAGGCAGCCTAGGAAGCACTGCAGTTGCCTTTTTGACAGGCAACTTTTCAGTTCTAGCACTATGGATTTTACACCCAACAATAGGTCAGGCACTTCACAGTGATTCCTGAAACCCCCTAGACTTCCAGCTGTGACCACCAACCAACTGAGGAGAGCAAGGCAGAGGACACTGGACTCCACAGTTCTCCTCTGTCCTAACCTCCAACTCTTATTCAACCTTTGTATTAGGAAAGATAACCAATCTTGCTGACATCCCTTTAGCCCTCTCTGCCACCCAAGCCTTGAGGACCAGCTCAGCCTGGCCAGCTCAGCCACCAGCTTCTCCCAAGGAGAGGACTCCCAGATACTCCATCCCCTGTGACAGCCACCACAGCTTTCTATTCCCATTTCCTCTTCAATCTATTCCATCTCCCCGCTCATGCTCCCCTCTTTTTGTAGTCCTTGCTCCCTTTTCCCATAGATTCCAACTCCTGACAAGCAGGAGACCCTGGCCAGCAGCATCTCAAACCACATCACGTAGCTAGAGCATGGGGGCCCCCATGGTAAGAATTTACAGGTGGTAAAATCAAGCCCGAGGGCACAGCAGTCACTAACGAAATGAAAACCTGTGTGAGAAGAATGGATGAGAAATGGAAAGAACAGCAAGTAAAATACTGAGGCAGAGGAGGTCACTAATCAAAACATACCAAAGAGTGTAAGGGACCTTCATAATTGGGAGATGATGACGCTTGACCTCCATTTCTAGACCAAACAGCTGTGCCTGCTAATAGTAAAATTGGAATTACCATTAGAACTGTGCAAACAAAAATGGCTTTCAAACTTTTTTTGGACAGTTTTGTAGACATGTAAATGCCTTATTCCAGATAGACTATAGAGCAGACATATGGAGAACTTCCAAAATACACACCGATGGAAAAATACTACTAATAATTAATAATATATATTAAAAAAATAATAATAAAAAAGGTATTTTGTGGCAAAGCACGTAGATGGAGGCCACAAAGTTCCCCCGGGCTGCTCCTCCACATAGAGGGCTGCATTCATTCAGCAGCTGGAACTGCCAGAGGCTCTGGGAGAAGGAAAGGTCTCGGTGGTGGAAGGAGAAGCAGGGCCCTAGGTGAGCCCAGCACAGCCCAGCCCATTCTCCTAGCCTGGCTCCAGACACGCTCAGGGCCACTGATTATGTCACCCCACCAGCCAATTTACAAAAGCTCACAAAAAGAAGTCAGGCCAAGCACTGCACACCACAGCCACGCAGACCCTGATAAGGTTTGAGCTCTCTTCGGGCAGGTTATTTGGTTTGGCCCAGTGAGACCCTCAAAGGTCTGACCAAAAAAACCTTCTGGTTTGTATCCACTGCTCTAAATCTACTCCTGCTGCTGTGGGAAGAAAAGGGCTCCTGGGCTCCAGCAGCATTTGCTAAGGACAAGTTTGCCCTTGTGAAAGAAGCAAACATGGGGAAAAGAGGGTTTTTTTCCCAAGTATTTTCCCCAACAGCTTTTACATATACAAACATATATGTACAATTTTTAATGCTCTTTTTATGAGTGATCTTCTGAATGATCTCATAAAACAGGCTTCAGAATTTGAGATGGCAGTATCAGGATTTTAATCTTAATGCCCACACTGAGCAGCATTTGCTTGGACCGAGACAGGCCAGGGTGGAACTCATGGCAATTTGTTTTTCAGACTCTCACCAGCTCAGATTTTTTTTCTCCTAAAAGTCAAAATTGTGTCAGTTCTAATTCAAACTCAACTCTTCCCTTTTCTGGTCCCCATGGAGCTTTTAGTTGAGGTTTTGCTACAGCCCTGAATGGAGCAGTGAACAGCAATCACAACTCCTGAAATAACCTTTAACTAGCCCTCGACAGGGTTTTGCATGTTGGATGCTTTCAGCTTTTATTTAAATGCACTTATACTCCTTATTTTTATTTATTCTGACACTCTGTTCTCCCTGTTTACCCAGTAGAGCCTGCAGGAAGCAACACAGCCCATCTCAGAGTGGGGCTTTTCTCTTTGGCTCAGCCCCTTCCATTGGGAAGGAGGGCAGGGCCTGGCTAGAAGCACAGCCCAGTGCCAGGGGTGATCACCCTCGAGGGGCAGTTCCAGGAAAATAATGGCAGAAAGGCCTTTTTGGAGGTGTGGGACCCCCTTAAGCTATGACAGGCCAGGTGGACCTTCTCTCTGCTGCTAGGGGTGGCTTTGTGGGGATACTCGTTGACTGGATGTCACCCCAATGTTACATGCTCCTTCAGGTGAGCATGATGGAGGTGGTGTCTCCCCACCCCTCCTCCTGGGGCTGGTCCTGCACAAGCTTCTCTCCACCTCTCCTTCCAAAAGGCTCTCATCACCACTATTAGGTGCAAGTCTCTGAGGCTGAGGAACCCTTTTAAAGGATCAGAAGCCCAGGAGCCCCCTCCACCTCTGTCCTGCTCCTCATGCCCCATGGAGAAGGAGGGACGGGTCACACCTGCCCTACAGAAACGAAGCAGCCTTGTAGGATTCCTGGTGAGGTCACCAGGACCCAGGGCTCATGCACAAAGGAGAGGAGGCCAAGGTCTTTGGTTATATGCGACATAAACCTCATCTCAAAGAGGGGATGTGAAGCCAAGAGGCCTTCTCCAAGGTGTTTGTAGGGGAGGAGAAGCCTAATGCTCCCCTAGCTGAAAAGTCTCAAGGTTTAAGAAACAGGAACTACACTCAGGTAAACATTTAAAACACCTGATGCTCACCCTGGGCCCCTGGATCTTTTCTGTCTAGGTCTTTATTAGTGAAGTGGGTCTAGTTAAAGTTATTATAAAGTATATAATGAATCAACTGGATTCACAGGGGCTCAGCTAGTCCAGACAGCCACTTCATGGATCAAAGAGGCTTTTGCCTCCGCCCTGGTAGGGGGCAATACAGAAGGAGATGAATCTGGAGTGGGGCTGCCACGAGGGCCTGGGTGTCCCTTCATGGTGCCCACGGTATGGGGACACACTCTGCAGAGGACAGAAATCGTCTGCCACAAGACCCCGAGGGCACTGCAGGAAGCCAGGCTAAGGATGAGAAAACCCATGGCTTTGCTGCAAATGCATCCACCTGAGAGCTGCAACCACCTTCTCTCTGCACTGGAAACACAGCCTGTAGGAGACCTCCCTGCTCATCCCTGTGGGACCACGGGCCACGGCAACACGGGAGCGCCCGGCTCGCACCCCGCACCGCAGGAGCTCACGGAGGCATCTCCTACCAAAAATAGGTTGAAACGTTCAGTAAAATAGAATTGTAACAACAATACCTGAGAGAGAAGGGGGAGAACCAACAGGAGTTGAAGGATTTGATGAAAAGCTGTTGTTGGTGTGATCTGGAGAATAGATCTTTAAAAGATGATACAGAATTAATCTAAAGCCATCACAAACTGATGCAGAAAGAAATATGGAGTTCTTATGCATTCAGTTCACTTAAAATGAAAGCAGGACAGGTTAAAAAGCCTCTTATTCAAATATTAATATTTTTATAAAGGCAAAACTGTATTAGATGCAGGAAGCTATAGACAGCAGACCCCTTTGGGTGGGAACAGACACTAGGCAATTCAGCGATGGTTTCTGACTGTCCCGCCGATCTGCTACGGGAGATACACACATTTTCATTGCATACACTACGAACCAGTCTCATTGAACTTCCAGCATGCCTGAAAATGGCTTTTTTTTCTTGGTTTTTTTTTTTTTCTGTTCATGCTGAAATCCCTTAAAGGCCAAAATAAAGCAAAGGGAGCTGGGCACGGTGAAGCCTGGCACAGCGGGCGACCCGCAGCAGCAACTCCGGCTCCTCCTGCGCCGCTCGGGTGGGGAAACCCCCGTGTGCCCCGTGCCCGGGGGGGCCAGCACCCCCTGGCACCCCTGCCCAGCACCCGTGCCAGTTGTCAGGGCACCACTTCAAAGTGGATTCTGTACTGTATCAGGAATTGATTGCAGGCAAACTACGGTCTGACTTTTTGGTCTTTTTTTTTGTTGTTGTTGGTTGGTTTCGGTTTGGGTTTGGTTGTTTTGTTTGTTTGTGGTTTGGTTGGTTGTTTTTTTTTTGTTTGGTTGTTTTTTTCAATGAAGTATCGAAGGATATGCAAAAAAAATAATAAATAAAGTAAAATTAACTCTCATGAGAACTCAATGGAACCCACTCTGCCCAGAAAATAATGATAGTGGTCCTTATTAACAGCCAGCCCGTGCCAACCGGTCCCGCAGCGGTGGCCGGGGCACAGCAGGGTCTCCTCCTGCTCTGAGCTGGGAAGCTGCCATGCCCCGGGCACCCTGGGGAGAGGTGGGAACTACTGACTTTAACAGCAACCACGGGAACTGCTAGGTGGCAACTGAAAAAGAAAAGCTACAGGCAAATCCTGAGGGAATGCAGCCTGTGGATGGCTCGGCAGTGCCGTCCAGCCCTCCCTTGCCCCAAGCAAGGCAGCGTGTGACTGAGCCACTGCTGCTTGGCACCCACTCACTGAGGCCCAGGCTTCCCCTCTTGCCTTTCCTACCCTAGCACAAGATGAATGCTACAGCTTTTTGGCCACCATTTTGCCCTGATCCTTCAGTATTTCGCTTGGCAGCAACTCCAGGCGGGCGACCTCTGAGACCAGATCTCTCCCGTTTGCTGCTCATCTTCGTCAACTCCAGGCGTCCAACTCTGATTAAAAAGTTCCCACTTTCAAAAGGGTAAACGTGAATTCCAAAGTAAATATTTCCTTACAGAGGCGAGTGCTTTCCCCAGCGCATCACCAGTCTGCGAGCTGCCTGCTGCCCCACTTCCTCTGTTTGCTGAAAAACAAGAGACTCCAGGTAAAAACAGGCAGAAAGACAGCACGGACTCCTCTTCCTGGCCCCCTCACCCCCCACTTCATGGCATTGTCATGCTAATTGTAGAAAATGTACTACCATTAATTTGCTTGCTAAGGCAGATATCAAACACATTCATCCTCCATTTTTGCAGGTAAAATACACACTTGACATGCTGCTTTTATTTAAAATACATATGGCCTGTTGGTAGTGCCTGGCCATATGGCCTCTATGGCACCAATATATAACCAACGTATCAACCCTCAACAACTACAACACCATTAGGTGGCAAACTGGGACTAGTCCCTAATTCCAAAGTGCCATCCATAAGCTACTACCAGGTATTTCATTTTCTCCTCATTCACTCTGTACCCCTGGGTCCTTTGTAGACTTTTCAATACATGTTTATAGAGAAGTTATTACATTCCACACGGACTTCTCCAAACATCCCTTCTGACTTCACTTGAACATTAATCATTGATGAAATTATTTTTCACCACCTCTCAGGTGATGGGATTGCAGCTTTTATATAAGAAATGTAGGGCAAGAAAAACCCTGGTGTAGCAGGTCACCAGTTCCTCACCCTCAGGGGACAGGATTGAAAAAATCTTTGTTAGAGGAGAAACTGAAGGAAATAAAAAGTAGGGGGAAACATCTCACAAGTTGCAACATCTGTATGTCCATGTACAAACTAAAAGCACAGCTCTGCCTGACTGCTCCCCATGATCATTCTGCTGTCATCTCCAAGACCCCTCAAGTCAGGTGGTCAGAAAATGAGAAACAGTCAGTAACCTCCCCCACCCCTGAAAGCCTGGATTCATGTCCTGGAAGGTGAGGATCCTGAATGCAGGGTGGGCTGAGGGGCTCCAGTCCCCTCATCTCCCCTCAAGCCCCTCGTAGGTTCTGCACCAAGAGGCCATGGCCTCCAGAGCTGGGGTTGTCCCACAGAAAAGGGAGTCAGGGACCACACTGCTCACGTCTGCACCACCAAGTGAGAGCACAGGCACCTTTTTGGTCCCCAACAAGTAATGCTAAAAAACCTTCTCCAAGTTTCACCCGGGCATCATTCAGTTAAATTCTCAGGGCATGGGCAGGAGCAGGGTTGGACCTACAGCTCTTTGACTTTGGCTCCTGGTGGAGCTGCAGCCAGCTGAGGTCTGCCTGTGACAGTGCCCAGTGCTCAGAGCAGCTGAGTGGAGCTGCCTCCAGACCCTGCAGCTCCACGGCAGCAGCAGGGAAATCCAAGCTCTGGGGACCTCCCTGCTCCGAGGGATGTCCTGCCACCCCCTCCAGAGCAACTCTTCTGCTCCACCTCCTCCAACCTTCCCCTGAAAACACCTCTCTCATCCACTGTCCCCACTTAGCTTTCGTACGTCTTTGCTGACTCCTTTTCTCCTCCTTTTCTTAGTTAAACTTCCATTATTGCACCTTTGAAAACGTGCTTGTCTGCCAGTGGCAGCTTATTTGTGATCTCGGCTCAGTTTGAAATCAGGCATCAAGATGTACAAAGAAAGATATATAAAGAAACGTGAAGACAGCTAGAACAGGCAGTGTCAGCTAGAGACAACTTATCAGGGTAATTTAATGCTGCAAATCACAATCTAAAGGTTTGTGACTTGCATAATACCAGGCAGATGTCCAGAAATTCAGTTACTTCGCTCTAAAGTGAACTGTGAATCTACATGTAAATCATGCATTGTTTTTTTCCCCTTTTTCTAAGTGACTCTAACTGCATTATGCTAAAATTAAGTCCCACATTTGTCTGTCTGAAGGCTGCTTTCTCCTAATGAGATGAGCTATCCTGGTCCTGTGGGAGAAGCCAGAGCAGGGACCACAGTCTTGCTCCACGTGCTCCTGACAGCGCCGAGCCGCCGCGTCTTGGATCAGTTACCACCAAGAACAAAGGGATTCTTCAGATAGACTGAATATTAAACTTTTCCTGCAAGACTTTGAAGACAAATTGCTCTGGTAGGCCTGGAAAGCATACCAGGAGAGCCTCAGCAGTGTGCAAAGTTCCCTTTTGTAGGGAAGAGGGAGCTTCTCTGGGGCAGGGATGCTTGAAGGGGTTTGTAACGCAGGGAAGGCAAGCTCAGATCATTTCTTTGCTGCTCACCACATCCAAAAACTGAAAGCCACCTATTAAAAAAGGTGGGGGGTTTTTGGTGGTGTCCAGTCAGCTGGGAAAACTTGTTGCTTGGAGGTGTGCTAAAAGCAAACATATAAATGGATTTAAAATTAACTGGACACACAAAGGGAAAAGATCATCCATCGGTGGCTACTGAACAGCAGCCACACGCCCAACTGGGGCTGGCGTGGGGCTGCAGGCTGTGAAACCCCCAGGTGGGAAAAGAGGGCACTTCCAGCTGCTGGCCAGCACTCCTGGCTTTGGGTTTTCAGGGACAGTGGAGAAAATGGGCAAAGAAAGGGAACTGCAGCACCTTCTGTGTGGAAGAGCAAGATAAACATAAGCAGACAGAGATCTTCTGAAGTGTTCACGTCTCAAAAGTAGCTGGGATGACTTGAATGCAGATCACTTCTGTAATGCAGGTTCTGCTTTCTGGCATCATGGACCATTTGACACATGAGCTGTGATTTGCTGTAGCAGGGTAAAGGATGTGCCTGAAATCTGCAGGTGACCAAAGAACACCCCGTATTTGAAGGAAGAACAGAAAATTACAGTCTTAAGAGGAAACACAACAAGGAGCACAGTCAAAATGAAAAGAGGAGCACAAGGTGGAACATCGTGGCGCCAGGCCAAGCCTCCAGGAAAGGTTGAGTGACTTCATGGAGAAGAATGAACTCAAGCTTCTTAAACACTCAGTGCTGCACCCAGCACTGGACTAACTGGGAAAATACCAGATACCCTCACTTTGTTTTTGTGTTCCTCCTAAGGGAGTCTTAAGAGTCTTTTCTGGAGGCAGAACCATCGCATAGATGAACCTTAGGTCTGAACAAGATGTTTTCAAGTTCTCCTGCAAAACACCATACAGCTTAGCACAAGAGACACTAGGAAATGCCTCCAAATCTGGAAGGACACATTTTCTCCAAGATATTTCTGCATTGGCTTTCAGTTGAATGAATCCAGCCTTCAAGAAAGGTTTCAATTAATTAATTGATGATAGATGAGACAAGAGGAAGGGAATACTTGATGAAGGTTGCAGGAAAAGAAATGACAACGGGTCAGTCAAGTCTATGTCCACAGCACAGGTAGCAGGCTGCTGAATGCTAAGCTAGATGGACCACCTGCCTGAAGCAGCAAGGCATTTCTGTCTACCTGTGCTAGCCTTTATTTCCTCAAACTGGTCTAAATGTTCTAGCTACTAGAGAATCCAACTGCACACACCTGAGCCTGGACCCTGGCTTCCCCACTCAAGGAGACACTGCTCTGCTGACATGAAGCATCAGCAGATTTTGGCACGGTGCAGAAAGCCAAGACAACTTGGGAACAGCATTGTAGGAGAAGACTTGAAAATGCACCCTCAAAGCTGTCGTGTCTACTCCTGAGCTACTCCTCCATGCCCAAGACCATGAATGCAGTGAAGCCCTCGTGAAAGACTCAGCCTTTTGATGGATTGATTCAAACTCTGCTGAGGAGCGTGTTTATTGTTACAGTTAATCTCCTCAAACTTTCTCAGCGTGTTTCAGCACAGAACAATTCTGCACTGGAAGGCAAAGGGACAGAATGATGAAGTGCAGCCTTTTCACATCCTTCTGCTGGGATTCTGATTGTAAATCTTAGATTATTGAATAAACTTCTAGGAATCTGTATCTCAGTGAGTGCAATTACATCTCGTGGAACCGTTAGGCAGGAGCTTTCTAGTAGAGAATTCCAGCCAGACTTTTTATAGCTTCAATCCTCATACAAACTCAGGCTGTTCTCAGGGAACAGTGCTTTCTGCAGCAGCAGACTGGAAATTATGTTTCTATCTTAAGAAGAGTGGAAAAACTTGCAGCATCTCGTTCTTCACATCACCCCAAATGATGAGGAAGTGGCACTGCTGGATAAAAGTCACATTCTTCTTACACTGTGCGCCCCTTCACCACCCTCCTGGAACTGGAAGCTTCACATTCTTGTAAAACACACAGCACAGTATTATGTGGCTGCTGGGGTAATAAAATTACTGTGCAACCAGGGCCCCAAGGGGCAATGCACACCATGCTCCTCCTGGAAAAGCTGCACGTCACACAACCGACATGGCAGGAGAAGTGAGAGCAGCAAGGGGGACCCGTGCACACATCAGAGGGATCCAACCGACCTACAGGGTGGCTGCTACAGGCTCTGTCTCCAGAACCAGTTGCTCAAACCTGGCACTGCTTTGGACCTTTGAATTGGCATTAAATGAACCACTGCCAGTGCTGTCCTAGAGTCCCCTGGAAAGGTTTGCTCCCAGAGCTGAGTGACCACAGGGCTCAGCAGGATCTGTGTCCTCACCCGGGGCACCAGGATGGAGGCACATCAGCTCCCACCCAAGTCAGCTCCAACAGCTTCCTTGGGAAAATCAGGGGAAAAAACAGAGTGTGCCCAGACTTCAGGGTCTAGGAGGAGAAAAGGAGTTGCATCAAGATCCAAGAAATCCTTCTGCAGCCCTCAGTTCAGACGTAGCCCAACAGCACTACTTGTTGAACACTTGCAGCTGCTAAAAGAATCCGCGTGTTTGTCCGGCTGCTCTCCTGATTCACACGCTGGGCTTTCCAGGGGATGGAGCCAGCTGAAAATCTGGATGTGTTTTTAAGATGGGAATTTTAGGCAAGATTTTGCACCCCCAAATGTTCTCTGTAAGGCTTGGGCACGAGCGGTGCCCAGAAGGCTGAATGAAATCCTTCTCTCTGAGGCTTCTTGGGAGGCAGAGAGGGGTTTTCCTCCACTGTGTGCACAGCAGCAGCAACACCCTGAGAGGGAAGAGCTCTCCATGGAATCATAGAATCCTAGGGGTTGGAAGGGACCTTGAAAGATCATCTAGTCCAACCCCCCCAATGGGAAGCCTGAGCACAGAGCTGCTCTCCTAAAACGGGACACGTTTCTCTCAGACAGTGACAGATTAAGCAGAGACTGAATTTAGTTCCTCCTTCGTTCAGAGACCTTGCCAAAGGTGATGGCCACGTGTTCAGGCCTGCACCCACCCTCCATCCTCACTGCCTGGTGGTCCCTCAGGGCAGGACCACGTGGGTAATACCCAAAACATGTGCCTGGTGACGTGTTCCCTATTTGCCCAGGGGAAAAAACAGAGTGTGCCCAGACTTCAGGGTCTAGGAGGAGAAAAGGAGTTGCATCAAGATCCAAGAAATCCTTCTGCAGCCCTCAGTTCAGACGTAGCCCAACAGCACTACTTGTTGAACACTTGCAGCTGCTAAAAGAATCCGCGTGTTTGTCCGGCTGCTCTCCTGATTCACACGCTGGGCTTTCCAGGGGATGGAGCCAGCTGAAAATCTGGATGTGTTTTTAAGATGGGAATTTTAGGCAAGATTTTGCACCCCCAAATGTTCTCTGTAAGGCTTGGGCACGAGCGGTGCCCAGAAGGCTGAATGAAATCCTTCTCTCTGAGGCTTCTTGGGAGGCAGAGAGGGGTTTTCCTCCACTGTGTGCACAGCAGCAGCAACACCCTGAGAGGGAAGAGCTCTCCATGGAATCATAGAATCCTAGGGGTTGGAAGGGACCTTGAAAGATCATCTAGTCCAACCCCCCCAATGGGAAGCCTGAGCACAGAGCTGCTCTCCTGAAACGGGACACGGTTCTCTCAGACAGTGACAGATTAAGCAGAGACTGAATTTAGTTCCTCCTTCGTTCAGAGACCTTGCCAAAGGTGATGGCCACATGTTAAGGTCTGCACCCACCCTCCATCCTCACTGCCTGGTGGTCCCTCAGGGCAGGAGCACGTGGGTAATACCCAAAACATGTGCCTGGTGACATGTTCCCTATTTGCCCATTATTTAATTAACTCTATTTGCTCTGCGAGATACTGGCAAAGCAATATTGGTTTATTTCCTCTACTGAAGTATGAACCAGTACTTGCCAAATATTTCAGTTTATAGAGGTATGCTCTTCATTTAGAGTCACTCTCAGTGAGAGCAGAGTCCCTCCCAGTCACCTCCCCCACACCATGTCCCCCACACCACATGGAACCCAGCAAAGACGTGAAGGGGATGAACCTTGTGATACTGAAGTATCACCTCACACAGCACTGTAGGGAATTAAATTCCTACAGGCAACAAGCCCAAACTTCCAAACCAGTGGGATGGGGCACAGAGCTGCTGTCACCTCTTCCATCCAAACTCTGAAGCAAAGTGCTTTGCTGCAATTACCTTTAATTATAGAACCATAGACTGGTTTGGGTTGGAAGGGACCTGAAAGATAATCTAGTTCTACCCCCTGTCATGGGCAGGGACACCTCCCACCAGCCCAGGTTGCTCCAAGCCCCATCCAACCTGCCCTTCAACACTGCCAGGGATGGGGCAGCCACAGCTTCTCTGGGCAACCTGGGCCAGGCTCTCACCAAACCTCACAGCAGAGAATTTCCTCCTCGTGTCTCATCTAAATCTCTCCTCTTCCTGTTTTAAGCCATTCCCCCTTATCCTCTCCCTCCCTGCCCTTGTCCAAAGTCCTTCCCCAGCTTTTCTGGAGCCCCTTCAGGCACTGGAAGCTGCTCCAAGGTCTCCCTGGAGCCTTCTCTTCTACAAGCTGAACACCTTAAACTCACAAAAAGAAGTAGTAGTAGCAAAACACATGTGCCAAGGAGGTGAAGGTCAACTATAATGCCCTCACCTCCATGAAATTCTTGCTCTCTGTGCTGAACTAAGCAGCTTTCCACACGCTGGGACATACCACCAAACCACCCTCCACCTTGACCCCAGCTCTGTGGCTCTAGCAGAGTGCCCTGCAGCAGATGTGAGAGGAGGGACAGGGGGAGGCTGGAGAGCTGCAGAGCCCCAGCCCAACTCACCCATGATGCTGTCTGTCCCGTTGGCAGGGGGTGTGCAAGAAGAGGCGCTGTAATGATTGGTGCCACTGCGGTGGAAGGTGGACATCGGAGGAAGACTGGAGTTGATGTCTGCTGAGGAGTGGGATGGGTAGCTCTGTGGCAAACAAGGAGGGGAAAAAAAGGAAATGTTTTGGCTCTTGAGACCACGGGAGGCAGCAGGCTGCTCACACCACCCCAGTTCCCAGCACTGCTGTACCCCACCCAATGGAGAAAAGCAGAACATTGCCCTGAGACTATGGCAGGGACATGATTTTCTACCCTAATGTGACATCTTCTGGAGGAGACAAAGCACAGACCTATCTGGTATGGGCCATATCCACCGTGGATGGTTCATAACTGATGATGGTGCCATAGAGATGTCTTGAGAAGAAATTCAGAAAGGGATGTTAGGTGATGTACCACTCAAACCTTTGGGAGAGGGACAGCTATTGGCTGGAGGAGAAGCCTTCCAAGGCAAGTGGTAGAAGCCCCACGTTGCTTTTGACATTACACCCAAGATCTGACTACAAGACACACATGGCTGGAGTTACAAAACATGTCAGAAGAAACACACCAGCACCCCAGGTAAGCAACTGGATCAATTTTCCCTCCTTGAGGATCAGAAATGGGATGGACCAAGTGCTCCCAACAAGCATGGGAGCAGCACACAAAAGACTTTGGTTGCTCTGTGGCTGGATCAACACAAACCTTCTTTACTGTGACACAACACTGCTGTGGTCAAACGATTTTTGCTGAAGCTGCAGCACTACAAACCTGGCTTATGTTAGTGCCATTTGTCACCCTTGACTAGTCCTTCTTAACTGGTGTAAGACGCTGTGTGCAGACAGGACCATGCCCAGCTTTTATCTCTATCACAGCCTTGCCTGAGCAGAGAAGAGGTCCCACAGAAGACCTCTAGGTTTTGGAGACTCTGATAACAAGGCCCCTTAGAAACAGGGGGAGCTGGAGACAAACAGCAGTACCTGGCTCAGGATCAAGGCACTGAAGTGTCAGAGTGTGATCACCTCTGGGCCTCCTGCCTCCCGAGGTGGCTCAGAGCTTGGCTGAAAACATCCTTCCTTTCATTTCTACTATTTAATTACTTTTACAGGATTTCATGTAATTAAGTGCTAAGTAACTGAACACTGTAAAGTTATCTCCAAGAATGTAAACAACAAAACCCAAACCTGTTTTTCTTCTCCCCAGAAAAAACCACCATCAGCTCTGACTAAGGGCTGAATAACGTTTTCAGGCTTTGACTCAACCTCTCCAGGACTCCAGCCCCAAAGCCAAGGGGCTGCCAAGGGCCCAGCTGAACGGGCTTTCTGATGAGACACAGCAAATAAGGAGCTCTTAGGTCAATGGTCTGATCACAAGTGGGTTCCTCTGCTGAACTGCTGTTCCACGGCACGTCTCAAAGTGCTGGTTTGGGATTTTCTCATCTCTCAGGGGGAGGCATCAAACCACCTCGTCCAAGTATTTTAGGAAAAACATGGGATCTGAATAGAGCTTAGTGGAAAACTGTTCCCTGCATTTGATTCTATTTAGAAAATCCCTGAAAAGCCTGAGAAAGTAAAAATAACAAACAGCAGCTTTTCTTTCCTTCTTTTGCTGGATGCTTTTTCTCCCCAGGTCACTGAGAAGTTAAGGACATTTGCAGGGAACTGAACTGATATCACTCAAACTTCCCTCAACAAGCTGACCACAAACTGCTGACCTCCAGCAGAAATCATGCAGAGAGTTTTTAAAGCATCACCGCCTCCCTTCTGTCACCTAAAATACAGAAGGCTCTGCTAGTTCAGACACAGATAATAGATGATTAAGATGAGCATCATCAGCACTGAGCACCTACAGCTTGGACTGGTACCAGTGGTCCTCACTGTCTCTGATATTTAAGATAAACAGCACCTACAGAGAAAAACATTTGGGGGAGTTTAGGTGGACCATCCCTACCTGTTTTACATTGCAAAAATAGTTTAGCTCTTCAGAAAAAAAAACACCCCACCTGTTACAAACCCAAGAAGTTCAGAACTGAGGTGAACTGGAAAGGCAGCAACCTTGGCAGCCTTGGCCCACGAGGGCACTCTGCTGTCTTACCTCCACCCTGAGCTGCTGCCATGAAAAGCCACCTAATTCTGATGAATGAGCACCCGTGTAGATAACAAATTAGATTAAATGGGGTTTTAAGAGTTACGCTCCATTTTTATTATATATGCTTGTCACTTCAGAGCAACGTGAAGTTTGCTTAGTGCCTTAATTATGCCTTTTATAAGGACATGATTAAGCAGTTTTTGAGGCAATTCCTTTTGCTTTTGACTTCCTATTAATTTTGCAGAGCAGCGTGCTAACCTCGTTAAACGGGAGGCTTCAAAGGTTTGTTCTGCAAATGACTTTCCAGTTTGCAAGAGTGGGTTCAGTTCTTCTTGCTCCCCCAAAGATGGCTCTGCAGCAACAGCCCCTTCCCTCCCTTCAGCCCAGCACTCCTCCTTTTTAATGGTCTCTGAGAATGAGAAGTAAAGGCCCAGAGCAGAAAAACCTGGCTCGTGATGTCTCACATATATTGAGAAAAATGACTTCACTCTGGCTGTCCATTTCTTTCAATCCTACTTCAAAACAAAACCAACCCAAAAAACGGAGGGGATTATGTAGAAATAACACTGGGTTCCATCACTTCAGCCATGATATTAGGAGAATATGCCCTAAGCTGTGCTCAGATCAGATTTAATTCCCATTTTATTCTGTTCCAATACAATAGATGGACTCAGTCCCAGCAACTTCCTCCTGCTAGGGATCAGGATGTACCGCAGGAAAGAAAAAAACCCCTCTTTTTTTAAAGCAGATGCTAGATAGTTATCTCTCAGCCCAGAGCAGCACAGGAGACTGGCTGCCATCAATTACAAAGGCCAAAAAGCTCTGGCATGTGCAGCTGACGGGCAGGCTGGTGGGCACAGGGTGAGCAGAGGGTACAAACACGGGCTCAACCCTCATCGTGCAACGTCAGCTGAAGGAACAGACCACCTGGGAATTTTTTTTTCCCCTCCTTCCACCTCCCAGTTGCACTGGGAGACGTTCTGCAGAGAGGTGGGGATCTGCAGTGTTACTGCACAGAGGGTGAGGTTGTGGCAGAACCTCAGCAGCTTCCTTCCCAGGGCAGAAGCAGCCACCTCCACCTCCGCTCCCGGGGGCTTCCCAGCCTGTCCTACCCCTCAGCTCCAACCCTTCCTTCCCCCAGCAGAGGGGGAATAAAACCTTCAAGCCAAAGCTGCCTGAGAATTCTCTACCTCAGAGTTGGGAACACACGTGGAGAACGTTTCCATGGCACAACTGGAGAAGCAGGTGGGGAGGTGGGAGGTGCTGCCCCCCACCCTGGGCCCCCCTCCCCGTGCCTTACCAAGCGGTCGTGCGGGTGCAGGCTGCAGTAGCTGCTGGACTGGGGGATGTGGGAAGAGTTGCCCAGCATCCCCCCGTAGCCAGGCTGGTTCATCCCACTGGAGGAGCTCCACGGGTCGCTGCTGTGATGCCCATCTGTAAGACAGGAGGGAAACTCTGCTGGCCACCAGCACCAGAGCCCCCAGACCCTCCAAACCCCTTCCCAGCCACGCTGCTCTAACACAGAGCCACCTGCTGCAGGAAAAAGGAAGCTGAACTGAGCAGAGGTGAATATTCCTGTGCCCTCCTGCAATGCTCCAGTACAGCCACAGTACTTAGGCTTGAGAGCTTCCTGCTGCTTTATTCCTGCTCTGGTACCAGCAGCTCAGATACATAAACCCCCTTGTAACAAATGTCATCAGAGACAAAAAGTCTGAAGGTTGACATGAAATACACTGAAATTACACAGAATGAGGAGAAGCTCAACTTCCTGAATGCTCAGGTCATTCCTGCACTTGCAATGTTTCCACAGCCAGGAAACTGAGCTGTTACACCGTTGCTTTTGTTTTGTTGTTTTAAATATCAAGAGTAGCACCACTGGTGGGGTTTCTTCCTTTTCAGGATTTCCCAGCTGGTGTCTCTGCACCTCCTGAGCTCAGGGCTCAGCCCCGGGGCCACCTCACTGCCCAGGTACCACGGGCACCACAGAGCATGAATAGGGCTCCCCAGATTTCACCAAGGCAAACAGCTGGCTGCATTTAACTAGACATGCTGAAATGGAATCATAATCATGCAGCGAGATGTATTTTCTGCTGGAAGCAGGCCAGGCTGGGAACAAAACAAAAGCAAATCAAAACCCAAACCAAACCCAAGGTAACTTCCCCATAACTCTCAGCAGACCTGCAGAAGGGGCAACCCGGGCTGGAAAAGTTGTCAGCTTTTTCTAACTACAGGAGCTGGTCTCATCAAAAATTCTTGTGCCTCACCTACAGCCCTGCCTTATTTATACACTTCCAACAGCCTGGCAGCAGCAGCACTCCCAGCATCACCTTCCCAGGGCTGTTTGAACAGTCATTTAACACAGATTTATGTCTTCACCAGGAATCTGCCAGAAGATAACATTTAAACCCACAGAATGGCTGAGCACTACAAAGGGTAAATATTTGATATCATTAGAGGCCTATTAATCCCCAGCTTTACAACTCCAGAGGAGTTTCCAAGCAGGTTGTTCTTTGGGCAGTATTTATTCATGCTTTAAGCCAGGAGCATCGTTTTCTTTCCACTCATGGTCCGTATTTCCCACCACCACTATGGAAATGGTCCTGATGCTGACCCCCCAACACACGAGGTGCCTCTCCAAGATGCCTAAGCATCCTTGGAGAGGTGATGGAGCTGTGCAGGAGGTGGCCCAGCCATCCTGGGACAGGGAGCTGAGCCATCCCTGGGGACACTGAGCAGCACCCATGACCCTTAGGGTGGGGTGGACACAAAAGTGGGTTCATTTTGATTTTTTTTTCCCCTAAGGGTGGGAATTGGAAAGTGTATATTTATGTATATAGAATAAAATCCAGTCCCCTGACCTCCAAATACCTTGGCCTAACAGTTCTGCTGATTAAACTGATTAACTTACCCTTTACTTACTTTACTTACTACTTAGCCTAAAGCAGAGTATATACACAAGTGCTTAGAAACTAATTATTTCACCCTAAATATGGTAAAAGATGAGTACTCTACCTGTGTGTGCATCTTTCCAGTCTCCAGGAATCTTATTGTCTAATTTTGTTGTACTTGCACATAATCATTGGGAGAAACAAAAGCCTGAACACGTGAAAACTATTAACCCCCTCTCAAAGGAGAGAAACAGCTTCATTTTTTTGCAGGTTGCTCTAATTCCTCACAAATGGACACACTTGTAGCACTTTGCACAAGGCAGAATCTTCCTCATGAACATAAAACAACAATGCCCAAATTTGTGTGTGTTCAGTGTATGCATAATATACGTGCACACACTGGGGCAAAAATGCTCCAAGAACCTCAGGTGATAAGAGACTGGGAAGTTATTCATTATGCTGCTTCACTGCAGGATCCAAACAAGATGTGCAGAGGCAGGATGGTCAAAGGTAGATGTACAGCTCTTCATTTGAATGGTAATATTACAGCCCACCAGATGACATTCCAGCAGGTCTCAACTCCTTATAAACCAAAATACAAACAGAGAAAATGCATTCAAAGAGATTTCCCTTTTGAAAGCAGCGTCCTACCTTGCATGAAGAAGGAGCTGGGAAAAGTGCTGGCTGCTGGTTTTGAGGATGGATAACCTGGTGAATCCCTATTGTAGTCGGCAGTGCTTGCTGACGGGGCATAAACCTAAGGGAAAAAAGACTCATTTAGTGTGCCTTTAGCAGGAAGCAGGGAAGAAATATTGAGTTTTTACCTTGCTCAGTATAAATCAGTTCACAACACCACATAATTCTTCTCTCTGAACACAAAAACCTCGGCGTACGTGTGACTGGAAAATAAATTTTCAGCTTCAAAAGAGAACTCTAGCCTGACATGTTCCAGCTCTAAACAAGGGTATTTGCAAGGTATTTGTCAAACTGTGTATTTCTGTAAATAAAATGAACAAACAGATGGACATATGTTCTTCCCAGAGCATTACAGAGCTTTAAATAAACAGGAACTCGAAACAACGCTGATTTTCTCATACGAAAGGGTACAGACTTCACCCACTTCAGAACAAAACTGAAAGCACTGCAGGGAAGGGGAAAAAACTTTCTTTCCCAACCCGAAAATATAAAAACTACAAAAGCAAAGATATGTAGAAAGAACAGAATTATCAAGAACCCTGAAAATGACACCCATATCTTGGGCTATGAAATTCCCGTGGATCAACCTCTTTCCAGAGAAGCTTGAAAGGACGATTTAAAAACCTGGAGCTCCACAAGACCACCAACACAGCCTGTGGACACATCAGGGAAAAACTCCTCCTTTCTTAGGACTTGGTGTATTTGTCTGTGCAGTAAACTTGGTGCATGTGCCAAAACACTCGGTTGCTGTTATTTGTTTGCTAACCCAGCAGAGCTTTCTGCAGCTCGCTTTTTAGTTCTGTATTTCTTGCTTTAGATGAGGTCAACCAGGACAGCATTTAAAAACAAAACAAAATTCCCCCCCAAAAGAGAAGGAAAAAAAAAAAAAGAGAGAAAAAATCTTCCCCCAACCAGCCTGAGCTGATCAGAGTAATTTATGATTTCAGTGCAGTTTCTTCCCTCTGCCCATCAGCTCTCTCCGCTCCTCCGCGCTTTGTTTCTGCGCTGGAGGTGCCTCTCTCCAGATGGTCAGGAAGACTGAAGCACTGTCATCTCCTTGATGAAAATGGATACCTTCCTGCCTCCATTTTGAAGCAGGCAGCAGATCACAAACTTGGCAGGGCGCCCGCTCGCCGACGTTCGCAGGTCACAGCAAAAAGGAAGAGAAATCCACCAGCCAAGCCCGGCCGCTGGAGGGGCTGGAAGAGCCTGGTTCTTCTCCTCTGCCAGCATCCCCCTGGCCAGGGCAGGGGGAACAAGGGGCTTCTCCCCTTCTAAAAAAAAAAACCCAAATGGCACCCAAAACTGAAAAGCAGGGAGCAAAAGGCGGAGGGATGTGGTGTAGGTTTCCCAAGGAGGCTGGCACGGCAGCTCCCGGGGATCTGGGAGCCTGGACATCACCCCCACGGGCAGGGCCAACAGCAGCTCCATGTCTGGGACACAAGCAACTTTACAAATCAAAGCACAAATCAAAGCAAAAGTATTTTTTTTTTTTTTTGTTGTTTTTTTTTTTTTTTTAATAGTGCACCTTCTGCCTCCGTTGAGACCAAGGTGGGTTTGGGGTGCTCAGCACTGGGTGCTCAGGAGGAGAACTGCCCCACCACCTGTGGTGCAGACACAGCTGGGAGTGAGCCCCAGGAACCCCTGAATCCCAGACTGGTTTGGGTTGGAAGGGACCTTAAAATCATCTGCCCCACAGGCAAGGACACCTTTTACCAGACTAAGTTTTTCCAAGCCCCATCCAACCTGGCCTTGAATGATTCCTTCTCTGGCAACCTGAGCCAGGGTCTCACCACCAGCACAGTGAAGAATTTCCTCCTCATGTCTCACCTAGATCTGCCCTCTTCCAGTTTAAAGCCATGAAGAAGAAGCCATTACAAAGACTATTTGGATGGGTGAAACAGGAGTGAATGTGACTCTGCACCCAACCCACTAACCCACCCCCCGGGGGGCTGGGTGGGAGACACCAGCTGGGATGCAACCAGTAGCACCAACAGCCACCATGATCAGGTCAGCCCTCCCTTTGGGATGCTGAGTGATGCATCAAGCTGGAGCAGTATGGTAGTGATGGCTTCAGCCTGGGGTCAGGGGAAAGTCCCTCTTGACCTCAGCATCTTGCAAAGACGAGTGCTGTGACCCAGCTGAGGGGAGGTCAGCAGCCCAGGCCAGAGCATCCTGGGGGGTGGGATGAAGGAGGGCAGTGGGAGGCATCAGTCAGCCCAAACTGGTCTGCAGGAGGGTAAGGGGACACCTCCCCCAAACACCCCTTCCCAACACTGCACCCTGTCCCACTGCTGCTCCTTCAATGCCTTCAAAAACGGCCCATGGAAGCTCTGCACTTACCAGAGAACAACCCTACAGAAATTCAGAATGCTGAAAGATCAAAGATGGACTGAAAGGAGATGAAGGAGAACCCTCCCAGGTGCCCTGCGGTCCCTCAGCAGCGCCGCTCCCTCCCCTGCCCCAGCGCAGGGACGCTCCCTTCTTGCCCACCTCTCTCCACACTCAGCCTTCCCACACAGCCCAGCACCACACGTATCCTTTCACCTCAACCTAAATGCCTGTTTCTTCCCCCATGCCTGCAGCCACCCGGCCTAGCTGCTTTCAGACACGACTTCAGCCCAACAGAAGTTAGGACGGGGCCTCCTCCCGCCACAGGAAATTCGGCTTTGCGCCTCAGGACCTGCCAAGTGCGACTTACAAAGGCCTAACAGACCCCTGTGCAAACAGGGATGGGTTTTGTGCCTCTTGCTGGCTTATTTCCTAGTTTATGCATCCGCTCTGCTTCGTTGCATGTTGTCAAACCGACCCATGAAGCAGCAGGGTCAGAGTCTCCAAGGCCACGACTGTCCCCGCTCCTCGCCAGGCAAGAAGGAAACACTTCAGAAACAACCAAACCTAGAGCAAGCACAACAATGAGTTCACCAAAACCCCAGTGCTGGGAGGTGGGGGAAGCTGTGGGACTGCCCACGGAGAGGCAGGACATTGCCTTTGGGTCTCACCTGCCCGCAGCCTCCCTGTCAGCACCAGGGGATGCACCAGGTGAAGGAGGTCCAACACCTTGGGGGATGAATTCCTTACTGTTCTTAGCAGTTGTACAAAATGCCTGGGGAGGCCCTGGCATGGGCCAGCCTGGGTGTGCAGGCTGAGCAGGGAAGGGAAGGGAAGGGAAGCATCAGGAGGAGCAGGGGAGGGCGGATGATGGAGGCTGGTGGTCATGAAACGATGGGAAAACCAGCCAAAATAAATGCCAGCTTGGAAAGTGTCATGTAACTGGGTGGAACTCTTCCTCACTGGAGACAGATCCTTGATTTATTCCTCTGTTGGTTTTGCAGCTGAATTTTCACAGTCAAAGCTGCTGGGCTGAAGCAAATTAACTCATTTCACTGTGACAGGCTCAGTCATAGGGAGAATTTGAGGAGATATAAGGTAGCTTTTTGAAAAAAAAATCTTTTGTTTCCTAAAGAAATGCCACTCTTCCAACATAAATATTCATTGGTTTCAGATCTTTACCACAGTGAGATTCTCATGTTATCATGACATCAGCTCAGAGCACGCCTGGAACTTCCTCTCATGTTAAAAATGTGGAGAAGCCTCCAGATTTGTTTCCCTCTGTATCACAGACAGGCATCAAAGAGAGTTTAAGAGACAATTCACTGGATGAATAATATTCTGACTGGCCCCTGACTGCCTTCTTGTCATTCTTCCACAGAGCAATGTTTTTAAAATAGCAAGAAGTGTATTATTATTTGATCCCATTAATAACCTCTCCAAAAAAGTTTGCCAGACAATTTTACCAAGAAGGAATCATGCCAATAACCCCATTTAAATAGAGACATAAATGACCATGAGTAGGTCCTGATAAAGAAAACAACCCAGTAACTTGATCCAGGAGAGTGAAAGTAAAACAGGTTAAATTTATGGCACTGGTAAAGATGGTCACGTGCTGGCTACAGAATGGCAAAAGAGAGTAAACTGCAGATGTGTACAAGTGACTTTCTGATTGGGCAGAAAAGATATTATAGATATAAAGATGTTAATATTCTTAAAAGAGAGCCTGTATTTAGAAAATCACTCTGACTCATGCTGTGAGGTTTGAAGAGATGATGAATAATGATCTGGGAAAAACAGATTCTGTAATATGACACAATGAAAAAATTATCACTTTGTTGCCATTTTTGGGAGCCTGCCTCCCAAGTTCCAAACACCTTTCCTTCTTCAACTCTTCCAGAAAGTTCACTGTCCTGGGAACATATTTCCACGGTCTTTCATTGGTCAGTATTTCAGAGACTCAGTGTGCAGGGCTGTTGGTGCAATGGGCACTGCCCCAACACGTTCAGCCAAGCCAAGCTGAGCATCCTTAGATGCTCACAGGGTGGATGAACCACGTGCTTGCCCTCTGCCCACAGCATTGTCCTCAAGTCTCGGGGATTTGGAGTCCACCAAATAAAGGATAAACTGCCTTGAAAATGCCCATTCTTAACTTGTATCAGCCACTGAGAGAACTGGAGGTGTGCTGGCTGGTGATGGCAGGGGCTGAGGGGGAGAAACCCCAGCTCCATGGGCCAGGGACACGGTTGCCCCTTGCAGACACCACTGGCCTGTGATGCCAAGAACCAGGAGAAGCCTCCAGCAGGGATCCCTGCAGGGTGGGCTGTCCCCCCGACCCACCACAGCCTCCTCAGCAGGCAGGCTGAGGCAGCTGGCCACGGGCACTTGGAAATCCAGCTCAAGCAAGGAGCTGTGAGACATTGCCTTCTCCCCTGCCCTCCTGGCTCCACAGCTCCCTCCAGCTCTGCTCTCAGGCCCTGGCCACCCCACTGCCAGAAGATCCCCCCCTCAAGTTGAAATGCATCCCCCTTCCTGCTCATGAGATGCTCTGTGTGAGGCAGGATGGATGGGAGGGCTTCCCCCCGGGGTGAGGGCTGTGCTGGTGCAGCAGGGCTGGGGCAGCCCCATCCTGGCCTTCACACCCGAGGTGAAATGAGGAGAAATCCATGACCTGCTGTGGCACAAACATAAAGCAGAGCCTATAAAACAACTGTGACCGAGAGCAGCGCG